AAATCATTGGAAAAAGGCGTTGAAGTGGATTCATTGCATAAGAATGAGGGAATCTGGCTTTCATTTGACGGGTGGATGAAAGCGGCGTTGAGGCTGTTGACATCCACAGAGGTATTATAACTTTTTCTGTTCTGCCCACAGAGAAGGCGAATACCTTGCCATAAGAGCCTGATGTTCCTTGTTCGCAGAATTTGGGCGGGGAAGATTGCATTGAGGTACGTTATCTCGGACCTGATTAACCCATAATAGTGCTTTACAAGTGGGGCTAGACGAAATTTGTAGGCCAGTTCTTTGTACCTCCTCAGTGATTTCAAAAAGGACGAGGTAATTCTACCGTTTCAGAGAAACAAGGTTTCCTTTGGACAGCACAAGTCAAAGATTGATTTAATCGTATCAGTGAACAGATTGATAGATTTAAACAGCGAAGGACAAGAACAGAAACCAAGAGTGAACAGTCACAAGAGAACGGTTGAGAAGAGAGATACGGTTCGGTGAAAGTCCCATAGGTGAAATGTTATCTGAGTAAAACGTGTGAATGCTTGATAAGAAATGCGAGAGTATACCTTAGTCTAACAAGAAGAATACTATGGTCACTGGTAGAAACCAGGGTCATTATTTTGAGAGAGAATACTTTGGGCTGTCCCGCACGGAACTGCCTCTGGTAGGAGAAAGAGAGATGTCAGATAAACCAAACAGAAGCAAGGGAGAAATGCTTGCATGATAGAAATCACCAACAAGTAAGTGGAGATTTTCGTCTAATAATGGAACTAGAAGTGCATTGTAGGAATCAAAGAAAGCAGAAATGTCGGTCGGAATACACGAGGGAGATATATACACATCGGTGATGATTGCTCTTTTGTGACGAGAAAATTTAGGGTGACAGCGAACAGGCAAACAATCAATGCACTTTTCAGAGTAGTTAAATATAACTTCTGACTTGCCACACCAGGAAACATTGATGTAACTAGCCACACCGCCTCCTGTTTTTTTTACTATTTCGCTGTCTATCCTGCTGATCTTAATCAAACCCTTGTTTTCGCACGAGAACGTCTTCGAACGGCTTCTGGGGTTTTCACTATGCCCTCCTAATTGATGTGCATTACAAAATTACTAGAAATGTCAAATTCATATATCCATCACTCCCTAGTGGCTAATATACAAATATTTCACCCAAATAACTTTTTAATAGTTTGATATTGTTCGTTAAGTTTAATTTTCAAAAACGTATAAGAAAAGACAGTACCAAACACGCTCGCTGATGGCGATTCATCTGAGGTTAGCAAAACTAATTGCATTGCGAAAAAACGCAGGTGCGGACAACATACACCCGAAATCTCTGATATTTTTGGTAAATCACATATCCGAACCGCTAGCTATTCTGTTTCAACGAATGTTCGACCAAGCAACACTCCCCGAATCATGGAAACAAGGAGTCATTTCTCCCATATACAAAGATGGTTATCGAAGTGACCCCGCTAACTATAGACCTGTGACCCTGAATCCGGTGTTATCGAATGCCATGGAGTCAATTGTGGCCGATTCTCTGATGGAACATCTCGGAGGATACAGCATTCTCTCGACAGCTCAAAACGGGTTTAGGCAAAATCAATCCTGTACCACGAACCCGCTTCTCGTTCGAGACGAATGGACCAGTAAAGTTGACGGAGGGGATGCGGTGGATGTTATTTATCTCGACTTCGCAAAAGCATTTTATCGAGTGAATCACAAAATTTTACTGCAGAAGCTCTATAATTATGGCGTTTGAGATTTCGCATTTGAGTGAATCAAAGCATTTCTGGATTAACGAACCATATCAGTTCGTGTTTCTGATTCTGTATTTGGACTCATCAAAGCCACCCGCGGTGTTCCACAAGGGTACATATTCGGTCCCCGTCTGATCCTCGCCTTCGTAAATGATCTGCCAAAAGTGTTAGGCTCAAAAACAATATTGTTTGCAGATGATGCCAAAATCTGGAACACGGTAACAGAATTCGAGGGCTCTCAAACACCTCAGGATTCATGCAACGCAGCTTATAAATGGTCTAAGGAGAACAACATTGAATTTAACTCTTTTAAATGCAAATTCCTATCCCTACGCCACAAGCGGAAATACTCGTATTTCCTCGGGGACCAGCAGCTACCACATATTTCTAGCGAAAAGGACTTAGTTATTGTTGTTCAAGAGGATTTAAGCTGTTCCAACAACTGTGCTAAGGCTTCGTCTGCTGCTATGAAGAATATCGGCTTGCTTCGGCGAGTCTTTGGCCGGTTTGAATCATCACTATTCCCACGTTTGCTATCAGCGTACATTCNTTAGGCTCAAAAACAATACTGTTCGCAGATGACGCCAAAATCTGGAACACGGTAACAGAACCAGAGGGCTCTCAAACACTTCAGGAATCACTCAACGCAGCTTATCAATGGTCTAAGGAGAACGACATTGAATTTAACGTTTCTAAATGCAAAGTCCTATCCCTACGCCACAAGCGGAAATACTCGTATTTCCTCGGAGACCAGCAGCTACCACATATTTCTAGCAAAAATGACCTAGGTATTGTTGTTCAGGAGGATCTAAGCTGCTCCACCAACTGTGCGAAGGCTTCGCTTGCTGCTATGAAGAATGTCGGCTTACTTCGGCGTCTTTGGCCGGTTTGAATTATCACCATTCCCACGTTTGCTATCAGCGTACATTCGACCCTATATAGAGGACGCCATCTAAGCTTGGAGTCCATGGAATCAACGTGATCGGAAGATGCTTGAACGTCCACAAAGGATGGCTACCAAAATGGTCGAGGGATTCCATTACCTGTCATACGAGGACAGATTGCGATCATTGGGACTATATTTTNACTATATTCTGCTCAGTACCGCCGAACTCGAGGAGATTTGATTTTGACGTTTGAAATACTGCAGAACCAAAACCATCCGTGTCGATCGCTTCTCATGTCATCGAACAATATACACCTAAGGGGACATCGTTTCAAACTACTGATTCCAAAGTCTCGAATGGATTGCCGGTGCCAGTCTTTTGCAGTCAGAGTATGCAAATCTTGGAACGCCCTTCCATCTCATGTCGTTTGTGCACCCACTATTGAATCTTTCAAGCAGCGACTCGACAAAACCTTGGCACACCCCACATTCGTACACTAAAGGCAAACGGAAATTCACTGTAGGCTACATTCTCTATCTCCTATCCGGATCTCTATGCGATTCCTTTTTCAATGTGTAACGATTCATCTGTGTAAATACCCTATGGGACAAGAGAAGCACCAGCTTGTAAGCTATTCCCATAATAAAACTTTGACTTTCCCTTTGACTTTACCACAAACTGCTTTGCTTATTCGCTAATATCAAGTTTCATAGCTCCAAAGAGTTTTGGCAGACAGATATCCCAGATGGGTTGATTATTTACTGGGAACGCGTGGAGGGGTGGGATTAACATGCGCGCAGTTCTATGGCTAAAGGATAGATAGAATATTTCAAGTGCGTAATGGAGGATTTGGTTAAATTTCGAAGGTGAACTCATCGTGTATATATTGCAAATGAAGCGTGAAGTGATAAGCCAGGGTTGAATATATCGTGCAACTGAAGAATGAATAACAGTATGATCAGCTGCCCGGTGGACAAGGGGGTAGCATGCTTGCGTTCTGTCCTTCAGGTCCCGGGTTCAATCCTCAGTTGGGTCGATGGATTTGATGAGACCCAGCCAGGTCAAAACAGCTGTCCAGTGCTTCCCAGCTTTTCAGTTCACGATGCATTTGCTATGTACAAGACGAATTCACCTTTGAGATTGAACATTGTCAGATAGAATAATGTCAACCAACGTCAAGCACGCATCATTGGGAAAACCACACATATTGTCAATCAGAACAGATAAGGGAGC